AGGAGGATATATTGCTGCATTAAGATATATTAACACAGTGAGCTAAGAAGGCATAATTCAAAAAGCCAGATCTGCTTCCAAACACAGAAAACAGAAAGGCTCTTCATCTCAATTGGATTAAATGCAATAATTTAATCAGGCAGGCCAGTAATCGATCCGAGGAGTAACTGGATAAAGGCATCAAAACTGGCATCAAATCTATTTTGTGATGCATTCGGAGCAAGGCAGGCAGTCTGCAGGGCACTGATACGTGGAAGAAGCCCTCAAAGAGGTGTTTGCAGAGAAGATTATTTGCATCAAAGGTAGCAAAGAAGAGGGTCCTTTCCACATGGGTTCAGCCTTTCCCAGCCCTTGGGACCCCTTGGACTTGCCATAACCATCCTCCCTGCTCTGCCCTGGGGAAAGGAGCCCAACAGAAATTGAGGGGAAGGGGACCAACGATTCTGCCAGAAGACTCACAGTGGGCCAGCAGAGCAGGAGACGGGCATCAGCAATGTGGGCTGGGGGTCTCTGCAGCTTGGCACACACGTACATCACGTTGGAGAAGAGCTGGTGGAAGCGGAGTTCCACCCGTGCCCCGCAGCGGAAGGTCACCATTTCTCTCATCGGCTCTGGAAGGGAAAGCCCAGTGTGGTCAGCATCTGGTGGCCCTTGGCTCCTGCTGGAGCACCACCAACACCTCCCTGCAGACCAGTGTCCCCAGGGGGCACAGAGACCCCAGCCTGGTAGCCCTCCCCATGCCCTGCATGGCTCACCATGGCCACGTCTCCAGTGCTCGGCAGATGCTCCTGAGGGGCAGATTGGGTCTGTCAGGGACCGGGCTTCCTTCAGAGTGTGTTTGATCTCCATCACCTGCTTCCCAGTGACTAAGGGATCCCGGCCAATGTCTAGGGAAGAGAGTTTGGAGGCACAAGGGTCACTCCAGTTCCTTATTCATCATCCTGCCTTTCAGACCCTACATGAACACCTCCACACCCTTACCAGGTTATTAAAAGCTCACAGAGATCATGGCCTGCAATTTGGTTTTTAGCAAGGGGTTCAGAGGTGCTGATCTTCACTCCAATCCTTGCTGGGATGGCTGGGCTGTGGTGGCACAGAGCCACTTGGTTTCTGCTATATCTCTTCTCGCCCCTGCTACTAAACTAAGTGGTTTCTAGTTTGGGTTAAAAGTACTCTTTTACCTTCCAACACATCCTCCAGCATGTGTGTAACCTTCTTCTCCTGCAGAATATGTTTCTTCAGATATTTCATGAAGATCCCAGAGCTGAACTCCCCATCCTGCAACTCATAGGCTTCTGCATCTTCGCTCCTGCAAGAGTAAGGACTTGTCCTCATATTTCTGCACAGGCACAAAGCCCTGGGGGTGAGTCAGTGCTTGCTGACTCCATCTAGACTCTGTTGGCTTAGTTCAAGCTAGCTTCTCCCGCAATGGTGCAAAGTGCTTGGTTTTGGTCCAGGCAAGGGTAGGAAGGACACAGGATAGGTAAAAGCAGTGGAAGGGGACAGGAGAGGAGAGCCTCTTTTGCCAGCCTAGGTGAGTGACAGCAGTTGAAAAGCCAGTGGAACTGGCGCTGGAGCAGCAAGCAATGCTTATCCTCATCTCAGGAGGCTTCAGGTGGCATGCTTGTGGCACACGTACCTTGGGAATCAGGCTCAGGAATGGAAGGACAGATTACAGGAGCTGATGCCACCTTCATGCATAACCCATATAGGCTGCCACTCATGATGTCAAGAGGAAGAAAATAAGTGTCTGAACAGGAAATGCTAGAGATGGAGGGTGAGAGCCAGAAGAAACATGAGCAAAGCTCCCTCAAGCTTCCAAAGCCACCACACATGAAGGGATGTGAGGACACATGGCTGTGCCAGCATTTGGTCTTGTCTCACGGTGCGAGCACAGCAGAGTGCACTTACGTGGCGTAGCCGTAAACAGTATTGCCCCAGGGCTCCAGTGGCTGTACCTGGGAGAGGGCACACTCCGGGTTGTACCTGGAAGAGGAGATGAAGGCATGAGTCAGTGTTGAAGACACCTGCCAGCGTGTGCCTGGAGGGGACAGAGCCAATGTGCTCCACCAAGTCCACCTCCTACAGATGGCAAGATCAATCCTCACATCAAATATAACCACCCATGATACTTGGGAAGCAACAGAGGACTCTGTAGGAGTCCTACAAAGAACCCAAGCCATGGGAAAATAAGTAGATAGGGCCGGCTTTGACCTGTCTGCACTGGTGAGCTGCTCTTTGCCCTACAAGGGAGCCTAGAGCTGTGAGTGCAATCATGCCTCCTCCTTCCCTGAGGCTGGTCTGTCACAAATCCAAGCAGCAGCACAGTGCAGAACACATATGGGTTCACTGTGGCCTGAGAGATGACTGTCCCTAAAGAACTCAGAGGTGTGCATGTTGCATGGCTATGGCTCAACCACCTGTCCCAGGGGTGTGGGGTGTCCTAGAGCTCCCTTCCAGTCCATGCACACACTTTCTGCCCCAGGACACCAAAGCATGCTACGGCTGATACACCTACAGATCTCTCTGAGAGATGGGATCAGGGCAGGCAGCCAGGTCTCAAAGCCCAAAACTGGTCCCAGCATCCAGGTCTAGCTCAATGAGCACAGACCTTGTTATTTTAAAGATCAAGTAGATCCAAGGTGACAGTCCTAGTTTCCACTGAAAAAGATATCATGGTTGCACTTAATGGCCAAGCCTTGCCCATCTGACTGCAGCCAGACAACAGCGTGGGGACCGGCGGCCTCCAGTTTACACCAGTGACTTGGAGCTGTTCCCAGTCACACAGGGATAAGAGCCAGGCACAGAGGTGGGATTATTCGATGGTTTTCAATTCCAGCACAGTTTCCTGGGGCTGAAGCTGGCACGCTATGGAGAGCAGAAGGGATGGTTGGATTGTCAGCAGCCAGCACGTTACCTACTGCTGGTGGCACAGTCCGGAGATGTTTAATGGCAGTATTAATCTGGCTTGTGTAAGTTTTCTAAAGATGATCAGAAGACAAAATAGGGAAAAGGAGAAATGCTTCTAAATATGAACAATGAACAGAGAGATTTATCTGCCTCTCAGCTACTCCTAAATAAATGCAGAAATCTGGGATTCCAGGTCCAAGGAGAAACGAAACATGAGATCTCAAAATAAACTAAGGTCCTGTTGTCTTACTGGTGGGGACATCTACTCGAGGGTGCACAGACACAAGTTGACACAAACCTTTTGTGATGGCACCAGCAGGTACCACCATTTTTTTCTGCACACAGAAAAAACACTGGTCATGGTCTCCTGCCCCTTGCTTGAAGACAAGCTTCAGCATAGGTTTGAATTTCCAGGGGCATTTCCAGATGGTGATGGAACAAAGGGAGAGACCTGAGCAGCAGAGAAGGTGTCAGCGCTGCCTCCTGCTGCAAGCCCCCGAAAAGTCTCATTTATACAGCATATCTCATGCAACCCAGTTCTGATCTGCATCCCAGACAGGACACAGTGTCCTTCTGTCCTAAGTAGCACATGCTAGAAACCATCATAAATCAAGGAATTCCTGGAAGAGGCAATCGCATCCACCCAAAATGAGCACATAAACATACAAGGCTACACACAGGCTTGAGTTCCTGGTTCTTCCTCTGCTGAAGCTGAACATCTGCTACCACTTGGCAGAGGAGGATGCGTTTCTCATCGCCTCGGCATTTCTGATGCCAACATATGGGGTGAAGAGATACTCTGGGTGAGATCCATCTTAGCACACAGAGAGCTCCTCCTGGTTCAGGCGTGGCTGAGTGAACCATAGACAGACTCACAGCATTAGTCCAACCAAAAGGGTGTTGGGAAAGGAGGCCCCAGGAGCCCTGTTTCAAGGAGCAGCATAAACACACACAACTATGAAATCCAAACTCAGCTGAGCTGAAATGGTGACTTCTCAAGGAAATATGCTCAGGAGAGAGCTTCTACAGCAATCCCCCGCAAGCCCAGTGATAACACCTACTGCACTAAATGCTGTGCTTGCTGTGGGAAAGAGGAGGAAAGAAGTGTGAGATCTTTGGGTGGGAGAGAGAAAAACCACCACACAACCATGCTGAAACATCATAGCAGATCTCGTACCGCATCAATTTCCCAAAGCGCCATTAAGACTCCACCAAGCACAGAAACCACTGGTGACACCAAGAAAGGAGACATCAGCTCAATAAACATTTTTATAGGTAGTTGCTATTCATGTTAGCAATCCCAGTGCAGCCTCCACATCGCCGTGCTGCCTCCCCATCACACACTGCCCTTCAATGGTGTCCTGATTTTAAGCTGGGCCAGAGCTGG